CATATTCGTAGTGTTTCCTCCCTTAAATGAAATATCTACTTTGCAAGTATTGCAAGTTGCCCTGTTGTCATCAGTTCTCGTAAAGTATAACCAAACTTTTTAGCGTTTGAGCCGCCATGTTTCCTAAATGACGCTCCGCAACGTGGTGACGTCATTCGGGGCGACTGGAATCGATAAGGGAATCGTTTGCAAAATGGCAAACAATTCCAAGGAATTGAAACAGTGGGAACCGGTTCTCAACAAGAACCGGGTTTCGATACCCATCCCTAAACGTGATGCTGTTATAGAGCCAGTTCTGCTTTTGTGCCTTTGTGAAACAACTTACATTTCCACAATTTTGGGAACTGACTCTGTAGTGTGACTAGCAGAAGTGTTTATTTCTAGCTTACGTTTTTTTATTGGTAGAAAGTCAGTCTGCACCTTGCCTTCCGTACTGTAAATAGTTTACACTTAAATGTTCCCCAGTATGCCACAAAAATATTACAAAAGGACAGGTTCTTACCAGGGACGCTCACCCCAATGATGAGAGAGCTCAAGGTGGAATAGAAACGGACGTAGTGGGCATATCTGTTGCTGGAAGTCAATATTACCCGCCAATACCAACTCTCCTTCCCGGCTTCTGGTTTGGGATCCCGACCCCAGGCACCATACTTGTATGAACCAGGATACTCTCCTGCTGTGTAGACCCTCGGTTCACTTATATTCAGAAACTGACCATAGGGACAATTACCTGAGGATAAAATGTTAAAGGAAACAAAGCGAGAGTGTTAATTTGCATGGCCGATTTCTTCCCATATATGGCAGCAGGATTATAGTCAAGGTAAGACTACTATTTATATCTGCAAGAGTTAATGTTTGGTTGCATTGCTCTGCTCCGGGCCTTTCATGGAAAGTGGAGAGCAGTAACAAAACTCCAGTACAGAACACAGCAGGCATCATTGTCAACCGATATGCAATAATTAATCAACATACAAAATGCAAGAAAGCTCTGTTCTGGAAGTTGGTTGCAAAGTTGTTGGTTACAAATGGAGAGTCTTCTTCTCACACTAAGGTTAATTTTGGAGTTCCACAGGGTTCAGTGCTAGGACCAATTCTGTTTACATTATACATGCTTCCTTTAGGCAGTATCATCAGAAGACATAGCATACATTTTCACTGCTAACACACACCAATTAGATAAACTGCAGGAATGTCTTAAAGACATAAAGACCTGGATGGCCGCTAACTTTCTGCT